ACAACCCCCTGCAGGCCCCCCCAACTCCCCCCTCCAGAGCCAGACCCAGGCTGAGGGGCTGGGGACGTCCTGTGGGAAGCCGGACTGGGAGGGGGGCCCACCCAGCTAGCCCTGGGAGTGGCCGAGAGAACCAAGCCCCCTGAGGCTTTTGGGCGTGGAACGCAGGTCCCCACGGGCCCCTTGGGACCCACCGCCCGTGACAGCATGCCGCACCCCCTCCGCCGACCTGGCAGGGCAGATCTGTGCAGCCACCCAGCTGTGCTCCCCCTGAAGATCGGATGGGGCGGCCAGGCCGACACCCTGGGGTCTCGGGAGCCTTCGGGGGCACCCACCAGCCCCCGTTTGTCACCTGCAGCTGCGGGTGACATTCCCAATGTCTAAGCACACACAGCCAGCCAGGACTGAGGCTGGGCAATGAAGACCCTCCCCTCAGACCGGGTCCCACCCCCTGGCAGCTGGCATGAACCCTTCAGTTGCTGGGTTGCGGGCAGGTCTAGGAAGTCCCTGGAGAGGGACAGGGTCAGGGCAGAGACCCTCGGATGGCGGAGGCAGCCCCGTGGAGCCAGCACTCTGGGGGCTTGAGGGACAGGCCAGAGACTCTGCCGGGCCTGGGCTGAGGGCGGAGGCGCGGAGGCCAGGCAGCTCCCAAACCTGCAGCAGACGGGACGGCCTCTTCCAGTCCTGCGTCCCCCGTTGCCTCTCTCCCGCCTGGCACCAGGCAGCCCACGCTTAAGCCTGACACCACGGGGACCGGGCAGGCCGGCTGCTCCTGGACACTGGGACTGCCCCGGGCCTCTGTCCCCAAGGTGCGGCTGGAAGTGGCCAAACCCACTCCGCTAAATCCGCCCTGCTCACGGCGGCTGGGCTCCTCCACCCGTGGCCAGAGGGAACCTGCAATTTCACCTCATTTAGAGGTGAAGCGGCTAAATTTAACGTCGGGGCCTTCGGGGCTGGGTGGCTTTGACAACCGCGTCCCCACTTAGGGCTCTTTTTTATCCATTCAAGTGCCAGCCAGGGCTTCGTTTGCTTATAGGAGCGTCCAAAATAGCTCCTCTGGTTGAGTGTGAGAGGAAATGGTGAAATAACCCAGGACGAGGAATGCGAGTTTATGCAGGAATGCGAGTTTATGCAGCGGGCGGGCGGGCAGCCCGGGAGAGAGGGGCCGGGAGCCTGGTGTCCACGTCCCTCTTGGCACCAACAGTCAGACCTGACCAGGGCGGTCGCATGACTTGTCCAGATCACCCAGAGGTGCCCTGGAAGAGCCAGAAGAACCCAGCCTCCTGCACCAGGTCACGGCTCTGCCCCGGCTGGAGCTACCTCCGAGCCTTTGCAGGGGCTGCACCCTCCACCCGCACACCCTGCCCCAGGGCTTCCTCTCTGATCCCTCATCACTCCTCCCCGCCAAGGCCACCTCTTCAGACTCCCCCTGGCTCCTGCAGCCTTGCCCCTCACCCTGTCCATGTCACCGGTCCGGTCGGTCCCCGGGAAGATCTCGGCTCCAGGACAGGGAGACTTTCTGCCTCACTCGCAGCTGTGTGGGTGGTTGAATGAGCAATGCTGGAATCAGGGAATGACCAAAGGACATCTCTTCAGAGCAGTGTCTGGGATCCCCACCCTGTTCCCTCGGCACACAAGTAGCTGTGGACTAGCCCAGTG